TGAAAAAAATGATTCGACGCAAATGCAAGCGTGGTATCGAAGTAGGCTATGACCATCGGTAATTTAATTGTAATCAAATAACGCTCAATTATGTTTTTACGCTATTTTATTTTTTATTTTGCCCTTATGCAGGATGGGGACACATTTTTTAATTCTATCATATTATTCTTGGTTACACTTGGTAGCAATTTGAGATTACACGATTAAAAATAGAGACGAAACAAAAAATCGCGTTACAGAGTGTAATACAATAAAAATGCCTCCTGCTGAATGTTTATTTCAAAACACATTTTGATCATTTCCTTGAGAGTAACCGTTCTCGAATTTGGCCAAGTTGGTTGAAAATGGTTCTTAGCCTACACATTTGAAAAAAGTAATGTGAATTTCTATATATCACTAAGATACACATAAAATGAGCGTCATGTATCGTACAAGTTAACATAAAAATATTGTTTGCAACAGTTCTTGCAAGTGGTACTATGGAATAAATATACTTGAAATTATCATATAAGAGATAACTGAAAGCAGCTTTAGTCCGGGAATAAGAAAGTGCTAGCTCTACTGTTGATGCAGAAACCCATTTTAAAATGTTTGATAATTCATACCAATTCCGAAGTCACTTTCAGAAGCCATAAGCTCCACATGTCTACAGTTCTGATATCACATGGCTAATGGAACTGCAAGCACACCTTCAGATTTAGATCAATGCTTTGAATTCAGCACGTATTTAATAAAGCATGATGTAAAACACGATTGAGAATTTCCATTGTCAGTAAAATAATATGAAAAGATCTCACCAAATTATGTGTCTATAGATCCTGTCTTAAGACATTATTTTCGCCATCGTCCTCCTCCTCTTGCTTGTAGATGCTTTTTTCACAGCAGCACACATCAAAAGTTCTATTCAAAGGCACTAATTTCCTACTGTATAGCTTTAGACATTTATAAAAAAATGCAAAAATATTTGAAAAAAGTGACAGAAGTCAACGAAAAAACAGCGACCGAAAAAAACACAATTCCATGCGCGAGCACAGCACACTGCGAACCAGCCTTATTTTTGAAAAGGGCATATAGAAAAATATCAAGCTTATCTTCAGAATTTTTTTATTCGAAGAACTTTTTGCCCGATCGGTTTGGTGTCTTCGGCAATAATGCAGATAATGAATGAGACTATTTGAAAAAATATGCACACTAAATTTCAATTAAAATCTTAAAAACAATTTTTCTCAAAAATGGATTTATTTTTTATTTTTTTATTTATTGTTATGTTTTAGGGGACGAAAAATTCCATATTTATTATATAGGTCAAGATGGACAAATGACGGACAAAAAAGTAATGATTTTTTTAATAACTCAAGTTTTTGGAAAAATATCCAAAAATTGGACCAATTACTGTTTTGACTGTATGTTATAAAATCACACCAAATTTACTATAAAAAAGCACCCAATTTAAATTTTGCTAAGTCGCACCGTTTCCGAGATGTAGCGGTTTGAAAGTAGATATATTTAAAAAGTCAAATTTGCATTTTTATTGTAAAATTGTCTGACATTTCCGAAAAAAATTTTGTCGGAACTGGAGAACCGCAAAATACATTTAACAATGGCGTAAAACTACCAACATTTAAAAAATATCTACTTTCAAACCACTACATCTCGAAAACGGTGGGACTTGGAAAAAATATTTGAGTGCTTTTTTATTGTAAATTTGGTGTACTTTCATTAAATAAAGTCGAAAAAGTAATTGGATCAAGTTTTGTATAACTTGAAAAACTTGAGTTTAAAAAAAATCATAACTTTTTTGTCCATCATTTCTCCATCTTGAATTATAGTGCAATAGCTGGCATTTTTTGTCCTCTAAAACAAAACAACAAATAAAAAAATAAAAAATAAATAATTTTTTGAGAAAAATTGTGTTTAAGATTTTATAAATTTTTTTAGAGTGTATATATTTTTTTCAAATAGTCTCATTCATTATCTGCAATATTGCCCAAGACGCCAAACCGATCGGGCAAACAGTTTTCGAGTAAAAATTTTCTGAAGATAAGCTTGATATTTTTCTATATGCCCTTTTTAAAAATAAGGCTGGATTCAAAATGGCGATATGAAGATGCAAAATAGCAATGTCAGTCATATGGAACGTTACTGCAAATTTTCAACCAAATCAAAAAATACAAAAACAAACCGATTTGCGAATTCGTAGGGAATTGCTCTTCTGTGTTGTTATACACTCTTAGCTAGATTCAATGACATTTTGAAAAAAAGAAAATCAAAAGATGCCTTAAAGGCAGCGTTTTTAATATGTCCATATTTTTTTTTTCGTGTTCAACCTTTATTTTCAGGAATGTTTCGATGTTTCTCGATATCCAGAGGACCGTTGTATGGCCACCCGGTTGCAGAATCGATATGGATGGCATATTTCAATTATACTCATGACTGTTTGCAATTTAGCGCGGATCACTAGGTCTATACTATAATTGCTGTCATTAGTGATCACCAGTCCCGTACCTCCGCTGCCACATCCGGCATACCTCAGGGTAGTCACCTGGAACCGCTGATTTTCCTGATTTATTTCAACGACGTGAATCTGATAATTGAGGGACCACGATTATCTTACGCAGATGACCTTAAACTCTACCTCCGAATTCACTCAATTGAAGACTGTTGCTTTTGCTGATTGGTGTATTCTGAATCGTATGGAGGTTAACCCGTCCAAATGCTCGGTTATCTCTTTTTCGCGCAAGAAAGAGACTATTATGTTCAAGTATGTTTTGTTAGGCACTGAAATTGAGCGCGTCAGCCAAATTAAGGACCTAGGCGTGATTCTGGATACAAAACTCTTTTTCAAGCAGCACATCTCGCACGCCGTCGACAAAGCTTCCAGAATTCTAGGGTTTATCTTCAGGATTGCCAAAGACTTCACGGATATCTACTGCCTTAAATCGTTGTACCAACAATCAATACGAAACTAACGATTTTAAATTGGCTCACTACTTGACTAGCCTATTGGTCCCAAGCAAATCGATTAACGTACCCCATTCTAGTCAAAATTCTAGTACTACACAAAGTTTGTTTTGATTTGCTATGAAAGTATGACAGATAAAATGAGGGGTTATTGGATTTTCCTATGTTTCGAGGGGTGATTCGACTAGCTTGGGACCGAAGATAGTACCAGAGCTGAGCCAAAAAGTTGAGCACGTTTCTTCGGGACCTACTTGTCTTAGAGTTACCTATATGGTTGTACTGCTCCTTGTCTCGCTCCATATTAGAATACTGCTCGGTTGTCTGGACTCCTCACTACAACAACGGTGTCGAAAGAGTTGAGTCTGTCCAGCGACGGTTCCTGAGATATGCGCTACGTAAACTGCCGTGGACGAATCCCTTCCGATTGCCTAGCTACGAAAGTCGATTGCAACTAATCCATCTGGAGCGGCTGTCGGTCCGAAGAGATACAGCAAGGGCATTGCTAATTGCGGATATTTTGCAAGGACGCACCGATTGCCCTGTCCTCCTTGAGCAAATTGATATCAATGTTCAACCCCGAGCCCTACGGAATAATTCAATGCTGCGCCTGCCCATACAGCGAACTAATTATAGCATGTTCGGTGCAATCGGTGGTTTACAGAGACTTTTAAATAGGGTCTCCGCACTGTTTGATTTTGACCTGACTCGCCAGCTGCTTCGCCGGAGGTTTAGTTCGTTTTTTCTAGATCAGTTTAGTTTGTTTAGTAATGTTCATTTTTTTTACGAGATGACTATCTATGTACTTATTGATGTTTTGTTTTAGTACTTTTCATGTTTAGTTTAAGTTACATCATTGGGGCAAATAACGCCTGTTGATGTTCAGTCATATAAATAAATAAATAAATGAATTAACCATTTTGCCGGTTATTCCGGATATCCAAAGGACCGTTTTCTGACCACACAGTAGCAGAATCGATATAGTTAATAGCATATTTCCTCTATACTCATGATTGTACGCAAATTAAAAAAAATCGCGGGTCTCTAGGTCTACTTGCAGGAATTGACCGTTTTGTCGGTGAATCTGAATGTCCGCAGAGATATGCTTTTGAATGGTGCTGCATTAGTGGGAACCAGCCATGTCCACATGCATCGACACGCTATTTGCAGCCATGGGGTTTTGTCTAAAAATTGCTACATCCGCTTCATCCGCTTCATCCGCGTTATCCCTACCAAGCTTCTCAATCTTCGCATTAACGTTGTTGTCTCTATATTTACCGCGACGACGACGAAACTCGTTTTATTAGATCCTCAAATTCTGTCCAATGGATTTCATCTTGATTCCAGTTTGAAGAGAAACAAGTTTCATTCACATTTCGTACCGCATATGTTGTGACCTTTCGTTATGTGGACCGTACACGATTGCTTTTATTGACAATAATCGTATTGTCAATACATTTTATATTGACGTCAATACATCGGTATTGACAATATTTCTGTATTCACATCATCAATATTATTGTCAATACTTGTAAGTATTGACAATATTTCTTACCGTGTGGGGTTCGCTTTAGTCATCTCGCTCGCACTGAAGATGCGAAAAGCTACAAAAAAGCACACATCATACACCAGCTACTAGGCATCATTGGGGGAGAACAGTCCATAATGCACCCGTGGGGTAAAATGGTCCCGCGTGTTTTTTCGTTTTTTTCGTTTTTTTCCCATTACTCACTTTATGTGGCAGAATGCAAGTTCGTTAAATTCACGAATCAGCTATGAAAAACATCGCGGGATATTTTACCCCCAGGGTTGCGTTTTAGACCATCCTACCCTACCAGTACGAGCCACTCGTGGAAGTAAACCGATCGCTTCAAGCACCAAACCCACTTCTTCGCGGACACTTGATTTTGTCATCAGTGCGCTAAACTACTGCTTCTGCGAATGGAAAGCATCAATACCACGGAGTCCGTCTACACTTCAAGTCCGACTAAGCTTCAAATTTCTGGGTGTGATTTGGTTTGTGAACTATTCAACCATTAAAAATGACTGAATCGAATGAAACCGGTACCAGCAGGTTACGAAAACTGCTTTCGTATGTTACAATCGAGCCGGTGATTATATTTTTCATATTTGGGGTTGTCACCTCGACGGGGTTGAGAATTTTTGAACTCGAAAAGGTAAGTGATGAATGCTTTTAACAGTAGGTGGTGAGGTATCTCCGAATTGAACTGTCATTTTAGGCATGCGTTACCAAGTTACATGTGGATTTGAAGGTGTGTGAGTTTTTTGCTCAGCTGGAAGACAACAACGTGTGTGAGAGCTTGCCATCCGGTGAAACGTTGAATCGATCAGCTGAAACAAACCCCGGCATTGACTACGACGTTCAAAATGACACGGGGCAGATGGAATTCAACCGGTTGGTTTGTACAGCAAGGGAGAAATCGATCAACGAGGTGACTTTTTTGAATTCCTACAGAAGCATCATAAGTATGTTGTGTATTGTGCTTAGGCTTCTGTACACTAAAACGCGCAATCATTTCCAGCTGGTTTGGTGCAGACAGTGGTACTCCTTTTTGCCGGCAGCTGGAGCGATCGAGTTGGACTGAGGAAACCTTGCATATTGATTCCGATTGCTGCTGACATAATCAGCACATGTGGTAAGAAAACTTGGTTGGTTAACTTTTGAGCTACGGTGATCGAGTTGCCTCCGTTCCAGTGCTCGTAACGTCTGCCATCTTCATGCAGGAAATATCGCTGGAAGTCACCGGCATCCTTCCGAATCTGATAAACTCAATCAGTGGAGGCACCCCGCTGGTAGTGACCGGAATATACAGCTACCTAACGGTCTGTAGCACCGAGGAGGACCGAACGTTTCGATTTGCCTGTGCCGCCGTCGTGATTGCTACCATACCCATTCTGGCGAGCTTCTTTAGCGGGTATTTGTTCAAGGCACTGGGGTTCATTAGTATGGATGCTGTTGAAATATTGATGTACCTATCAATCGTCAATGGAGTGCGTTTCTTTCCAGATTTGTGTCTCCTGTGCATAGTAACGGATTCAATCGGATTACTTTACGGATTATTCGTTCTGAAAGAACCATCCAATGAAGAAGATTTCACTGAAAAAGATGGCCACAGTAAAGACCATGGCGATGTACCGGATGACACCAGCCATTGCACATCCTTCCGTAAGCTATTCGATGTAACTCTTGTGATTGATTGCATCAAGGTGGTTACCAGGAAGCGGAATTTCAATGTCCGGGCCATCCTGCTCTTAACCTTACTTGTATTTTTCATCAACTTTGGTGCCGCCGGTGATGTCGAATCGGCACTGAACATTGCGATCTACAAGTTCAGCTGGATCTCCAACCTGGGCACGTGGGTGTCGTATGATTATATGACCACCTTGCTGGGCACCCTGCTGGCGATGGGAGTGCTGAGCAAGCGATTCGGGGTGTCCGACTTTCTCATTTGCGTATTTTCGGTGTGCTTCACTCTGGTTGCAAAACCAATTATGGTAAAAAGCTTTTGAAACTCAAATAACATTTCGAGCTTCATTTTCTTGACTTTTCCCCTGCCAAAAAATATGAGTGCTACGGTGTGAAAGCTTTTCTTTGCTCACTAAAATTCCATTTCAATTTACTCACACAATGATTTGATGCTACTTTGATTGTTTCTTACTTTTTGAAGGGGTTTTAAGTATTCAGCTCCATTGTTTAATCACAAGGTACTTAATATTCACAGTTAGTCCAGCCAGTCAGTCTGTAACAGCCAATAATTAACTTTCATAACTCCTAATTTAAAGGCGATTTTAAACAAAGTTTAAGTTGAGAACATTACTTTCGTGTACTCTTATCAATTCTCATTCCAGAAAAAAAAATATGCAAGGATATGCGTTGGGCAAAGTCAGATTTCAACCAAATGAGTTCAAATGTTGGAAATATTCAATCCCTATCCATTTTCAGGCATATGCAGCTAGTGCCGTTAAACCGTACTTGTACTACGTAGCCACTTCAATCGATGTTTTCGAGGGCAGCAAATTCGTGGCCATCCGCAGTATTGTTTCAAAACTGGTAGACCAGGATGAAATTGGTAAATTGTTTTTGATTTATGGTTCGATTTGATTTATTTTTATTTTTTTCGAGGGCATTCAACTCCAAACAATAATTGTCACTGTTACGCATAAACATTTTCCCGTGACCATTATCTGGATGTTCATCAGGAAAAATTCTTGCCATCCTGGGAATTGTTGACTCCACTCAGGCGGTGATATTTCCAACACTCTACAGTGCCGTGTACCTGAAAAGTCAGGAAGTCTTCATTGGATCCGTATTTCTGTTGAGCGAAGCGTTCCTGTTGGTTTCGGTGGGATTGTACATGTGAGTATATGTTTTGATTGGAGTTTCAGCGAAGAAAATCCTCCTCATTCAGTGTGAACAACTTATAGGTGTTTTTTTCGATTCTAGATCTTTGTACTTCATGTCCAGAAAACTCACCAAAAAGAAAAATACCCACCAGCGAGAAGGTGTTGATAATGCCGCAATGGAAGTAACTTCCATGTGATAATGTTTTAATGCTAAATACACGTACCCGCTTCGGGGTGCTTCATTTTGAAGAAAGCAGATGCAATCTAATAAGCAACCCTTCAGTTCGATTTAAACCTTAAAATAAAAGCTTGTTCCATCATTGTTGAAGATTGATGAAGGATTAGAGGTTGTCCAAAGGGATTGAAGGTTGCATGGAGATTATGGCGAATCACTACAGGAATTTTTTGAATTTCACTACTATAGCTCAATCTTTGGTTCAAGTTGTCAGAATGTCATCGCAATTGAATATGTGATATTTGGTAAACAAGCTTGTCGTTTCGATGATAAAATTGGTGTCAGGCACATATTCTACTATCGATTTACCTGTCATGAAATTTTTCACATTTTTATCTTTCTTGAATTGCTAACAAACTGCCCATAACAAAAATAGGTTTGTCATTGTCATATCAGCCACAAATTTAATTTTACTGCGTTTGGGAAGCAAGAACTGGAGTTAGAGCAATGTTTGTGGATAATTAACTTTTTCCATAGAAATACCCATACAAATTTCAAACCATTTGCGTGTCCTCTAATCCTGCATAGATCATTGCCATTTTTGCACAGACTCAAATTGTGGCGTTATGAATCAAACTGGACGATGGGCTAATATTGCTTTCAAAATGATGCATCCTAATTTACACTTAAATTTAAAAAAGTAAAACTTATTAAGTGACAAGTTACCATTATGGCTTGAAAAAATAAAAAAAACAATAAAACGGAGCAGATACAAGCCAAAAAGCACATAAAAAAATAATTCTTGACTCGATCTTTTCTGATTTCCATGAAACTTTGCATAATTGTATGTTGTGTGCAATCATTCACATTTGTACTCAAATTCCGGCAAAAAGAATCTTGCAATTTTATTCAAAATGACGCTTTCGAAATGTTAAAGCCAGGAGGGAATCACAAAATCGTCATCTTTGATGTTTTATGAATACCCTTGAGCGAAATCGTGATCAGTGTGCAAAATATATCCCGCCTATTTGACATTTCAATTCAACAAAAGTAAGTTTTAAAGATATTTTCCCGCCTCTTAGAGATACTCAGATACTCAGGGTTATTCTGCGTGGCGAATGAGGTGAGGTGACTCGAGTCACTTGTGTCACCCGATTCCAGCTGCCGAGTGAGGTGAAAAAAGTCACTTGGGATGAACCCGATGAACTCTCACCTTATTCTCACAGTCGTTTTTCGGTGACAAAAGTCGTACTGAAGTGACGATTTTAAGTGACAAGAGTTGTAACCACCGCTGCAGTCGACTAGACGGAAACCGTTGGAGTTATATAAGCGATGGTTGAGGTTTTTGGTAATTTATTACTTCTAAATTTGTTTCAAACCTTTTTTTTTGTTTCTTCGGCTTCCTCAATATGGGTATTTTTGGAATCGGAGTGACGTGTAGGGATCGGAAACCTCAGGCCTATTCTGCGCGGCGTGTGAGGTGAGGTGACACACTCTCACTTGTGAAGTGACAATTGTCACCTCGGGTGAGGTGACTCTCCGTGCAAATCAAATGGAGAGTCACCTCACCCGAGGTGACAATTGTCACTTCACCATCACTTCACTGTTACTTCACCTCATACGCCGCGCAGAATAGCCTTGCATGTCTGAGACCATTTTGAAATTCAATATGGCGGCTTCCGGTTGGAGAAAAATTTGAAAATTCTGTCAAATACCCTTCAATATGGGTATTTTTAGAATTGGGGTGACGTGTAGGGACCGGAAGCCCATGTCTGACGCCATTTTGAATTCAAGATGGTGGCTTCCGGCTAGTGAAAAACTTAAGAATTTCACCAAATACCCCACAAAACTGGTATTTTTGGAGTCGGGGTGACGTGTAGGGACAGGAAATCGATATCTGAGGCCATTTTGAAATTCAAGATGGTGGCTTCTGGTTGGAGAAAAACTTGAAAATTCTGTCAAATACCCCTCAATATGGGTATTTTTGGAATTAGAGTGAAGCGTAGGGACCAGAAAACCATGTCTGACGCCATTTTGAATTCAATATGGTGGCCTTTGGTTTGAAAAAAATTGGAAATTCTGCCAAAAAGCCCTCAATATGAGTATTTTAAAAATCGGGGTGACATGTAGGGCCCTGAAACCCATGTATGACACCATTTTGAATTCAATATGGCGGCTTCCGGATGAAGAAAAACTGAGAAATACTGCCAAATTACTCACAATATTAGTATTTTTGGAATCAATGTGACGTTTTGTATCGGGAATCGATGTCTGAAGCGTTTTTAAAATTAAATATGGCGGCTTCCGGTTGAATAAAAAACTTTGAAATTCTGTCAAATACCCCTCAATATGGGTATTTTTGGAGTCGGGGTGACGTGTAGGGACCGAATACCATGTCTGACGTCTTTCTGAAATTTAATATGGTGGCTTCCGGTTAAAGAAAAACTGGGATATACTGTGAAATTACCCACAATATTTGTACGAGAGTACGACCCCGAGAAAACTACAACCCTGGAGAGTTATCGCCGTCGCTGCTACAGCTGATCTGCAGCCAACAAAGGGATTAGACTACAAGTGGAGATGCGTCTATTGTCCACACGTAAGGGATAGCAGCGATCATTGTACCTACGGTCGGAGTATCGAGAGCAGCAGATGAGATGATCGTACGACGAGTGCGAAGCTGGACCGAAAGGACGGACAGTACGAGAGGGAGATCTACATTGCCACTGGTCAAGCGATGATCAAATCGGGAGACGGGAGTAAGTTGGATGATGATGAATCGAGGATGAATATTTAAATTTGTTAGTCTTTAAGTATTTTTGTAGTAAATTGTTTGCGTGCACAGAAAAATAATGTGTTGTAATAAATAAAGCTTTGTTAACTGTGTTTCACCAACCCGCGAGTGTTGTGTTTCGAAGGAAGAATACTCGCTGGAATTATCCCTGTAAAATACAACCCATACGAGCTACATTTTTGGATTCCCCGCAACCCCACTACCCAAAGGAAACACAGCGATATTTTTTTTCGAACCCACACACTTTCATCTCGATTTTTAAATCAAGATTTAAAGCAAAATAATAACTTCACTGTTTGACACTAAACTAACAAACTGACAGCTCGCTCCCATACAAAGTGACACCGAGGGGCGCTATTAATGTGATTTTTGCAAATCTAATCGTACTTATTTAAAATAGTTCCAGTGTACCAAAATTGATAAGATTTTGGGTTTGGGTTCCATTTTTAATGCAGATTACGAATATGCATTTACCTCAATACCCTTAAAGAACCCAATTGACGGGCTGGTTGAAAATGGCCAATAAAATAGCGCATTTTTAATTCGAAATTTACGAAGTCTATTATTTCGGAAATTTTGACCATATCGTAAATAACTTTCTTAACCACGCCGTCGTTTTTTTTTTTGGCATTATGATTGTTCAATTGTATCATGGAGTTCCATTAAATAAATAACTAGAATCATTAACTTACTTACTTACTTAAGGGTCCTGTGCACCACCAGCACGGTTCGGTACACGGTCAATTGCACCTACCATGATCTCGTCGATTACGATGAGAAACAGTAGCGGTGATAGTATACATCCTTGTCTCACACCAGCGACTACCCGGATAGGGTTGGACAAGGCTCCGTTATGCAGAATTCTGCACGTGAAAGCCTCATACTGCGCTTCGATGAGGCTGACGATTTTATCCGGGACTCCCTTGCGTCTCAGGGCGCCCCACAGATTCTCGTGATTGAGACGGTCGAAAGCTTTTTCGTAGTCAATGAATACCAAATAAAGGGACTCTTGGAATTCATTGACCTGCTCCAGGATGATACGGAGCGTGACAATATGGTCCACACAAGATCTTCCGGCACGGAATCCTGCCTGCTGCCGTCGGAGAGTCGCTTCGATCTTCTCCTGTATCCGATTCAGGATAACTTTGCACAGAACTTTGAGATCCCCCTTCTTTGGGACCTTCACTAAGATGCCCTGCATCCAGTCGGCCGGAAAAGTCGCGGTGTCCCAGATATTACAGAATAGTTTATGCAACATTTGTGCGGATAGCATGGGGTCAGCTTTGAGCATCTCTCCTGATCGAATGATCGACCCCTGGAGCCTTGTTGGATTTCATGCTTCGGATAGATGTTTCAATCTCCTGCAGTGATGAGGCCTCGGAATTGACGCGAGTGATGCGCCGCAAACTAGGCGGATCATGCTGAGATGTTGATGGTTGGTTGGCCGTCGAAACTTGAAGAAGTTGTTCGAAGTGCTCAAACCAGCGTTTCAGCTGGTCAGTGGGGTCGGTAAGCAATTGTCCAGTCGTGTCCTTTACTGGCGTCCTCGGGTTCATCCTTGCTCCACTCAGGCGTCGTGAGATATCGTAGAAAAGGCGTATATCGCCAGTGTTTGCGGCTTTCTCCCCTTCGTCGGCCAGGGAGTTCACCCACGCTCGCTTGTGCCGTCTGCAAGAGCGCTTGACTTCCTTCTCTAGAGCCGAGTACCGTTGACGGGCTTCGTTCTTGGCTCCTCTGGTTCTCACCCGCTCTGTCGCGGGTTTTGCTTCTCTACGCTCCTCAATCTTCCGCCAGGTTTCATCTGTGATCCACTCTTTCCTCTGGGTGCGCAACTCACCCAAGTTATTCTCGCTTGTTGCTATAAAGGCATTCTTGATGGCCGTCCATTGTTCTTCTACGCTGCCACCTTCTGGAACGTCCGCAGCTCGAGTCTCAAGTTCTTCAACAAAAGACCCTTTTACCGCTGGATCTTCAAGTCGGCGTGTGTTGAACCGCCGCCCGAGTCTCTCCTCCTGTCGCTGGATCCGCGCCATGCGTAGGTGGATTTCACCGATTAGAAGGTGATGGTCAGACGCGATGTCGGCGCTGCGTTTATTCCGGACATCAAGAAGGCTCCGTCTCCATTTTCGGCTGATGCAGATGTGGTCGATCTGATTTTCGGTATGTCCATCACGGGAAACCCACGTGACTTTGTGCACTGGCCGATAGGGGAAGAGCGAGCCCCCGAT